ATTTGCATTTGTGTTGCGGGATTTGCATTTGTGTTGTGGGATTTGTATTTGTGGTGAGCCTTCTGCGCCACCGTAGTACTATGATGCCACTGAATGAGGGTAAGATTCGGCTAGTAACAAAAATTGGGGTTCAAAATGCACCACCACGGGGCGTCACGTCACTTACGGCTTATTACATCACTTTCCCGTCACCATGGCACCACGTCACTTACGGTTTATTGCTTCACTTTTTGCCACCATGGCACCACGTCACTTCCGGTTTATTACGTCACTTTCCCGCCACCATGGCGCCACGTACGTCACTTCCGGTTTATTACGTCACTTTCCCGCCACCATGGCGCCACGTCACTTCCGGTCTATTACGTCACTTTCCCGCCACCATGTCGCCACGTCACTTCCGGTCTATGACGTCACTTTCTCGACACTAGCCGCCAGGGGGCGCCACGCCACTTCCGGCCTATGCCGTCATTTCCGGGGGCACGTCACTTCCTGTCTATGACGTCACGTCACGTGGGCGTGGTCACGTGACGTCTCTAAACCAATCAGAAGCCTCCCTCAGGCTCCGGGGACACGGATCGCTACTACTCACAGCCAACCGCTGGCCACTGGCTCCGACGAAGTAATGGTCAGCATGTAGTTGGTCCAGATGTCATATGCAAGGATCGCGGAAATCTATAGTTAACTGTTCTAAAACCGGTCAGGGATCATTCAGTTCAGCTTTTAGCGAGTTAATCTAACAAGCTGCATTCGGGTCAATGCGAATTCAGACTTGATGGACAATTTCGCGAGTGGTTAATTTCACGGTCGGTGAATTATGAATTATTCGGTATTATTCGGTATGCATTGTTCGCGTGTTATTTTCGCGGTCGGGAACACGTTCGCGAAATTCGCGAAAATTAAACCACCGCGAAATATACAGCTTATACAGTATGTAGACCAAGAACAAAAGTGGACATAGCGTTGATCCTTGTGGAACATCGCATGTCACTTAAAGAATAGTTGAGCGAATGCCCCCGATTGCAGTTTATTATATCGTGTTAGTAAGATATGGTTTTTAAACATTTCTAGAGATGATCCCCTTACTGCGTAGTGTTTGTCTAAATTCTAAAAGTATGTCAGGCCGCTCAGTATCAAATGCCTTTAAAACATCAAGCAATATCACACAATGAATTTTGCCAGCACCTAGAGATTCAAGAAGATTGTCGTGGATTTTAGAAATTGCCAAGACAGTAGAATGATTTTTACTAAACCCAAACTGATTTGGTGAAAGTACATTTGCCAAGAGAAGTCGACCTTGTGCAACACAGTAGCCATGTGGTTAAGAATAAAATGTAACGATTTTCTTTTTCCATACATTAGTCATTATGATTATATATAGTTTTACTCATCAACTCTGCGATCAGGGGCTATATTAACTAAAACTAAGTAACCAAAAACATACCCATGTAAACCAAGAAACATCCGAGAGAGCAGATAGCGAAGACAGATCTAGACTTCAAACAGCGGTGCAATCCGGCGAGAGCGCGATAGTGCGGTGCCATCGTGTTCCACAGCAGTTTCTAGTGCACAGCTAGCGGCTGGCCACTGGCTCCGACGAAGTAATGGTAAGCATGTAGTTGGTCAAGATGTCATTATGTGCAAGGATCGCGGAAATCGTGGACATCGCGTTATCTGTTCTATAACCGGTCAGGGATCATTCAGTTCAGCTTTTAGCGAGTTAATCTGCTAGCTCGATCACAATTAAGCTGCGTTCGGGTCAATGCCGCACTGGTAATTTGAACGTCATTCGTAGGCTTTTTTTTCTCAGCTTTGTTCGCTTTGCCATGTTCCTGCTCGATTAGTTCAGAAAGCAGTAGCGGGAGTAGGAACTAACAGATTATCATGAAAATACTATGGACGTGTGTGCGCGCGCACACGCGCTATAGAAATAGAAAGAAAAAACGATAGAATCAGGGGTTAATAATAACAAAATTTGTCATTATAAGCCCTGTTACAACCGTAATGTCACAACGACGCATAATGTCACAGCGACGCATAATAGCACAACTTTTCTCACGCATAACGTCACAGCATTTGACGCATAATGTCACAACATATTTCTCACGCATAATGTCACAACATATTTCTCACGCATAATGTCACAACAGCTTAACGCATAATGTCACAACATCTTTCAGTGATTTTTGGCTCACGACCCAGGTGGGATTAAGATGTTCTCTCGGCAACTCGGGGACAGCCCATTGGTCATAGTTTACATAGCCCATCCTCAAGCTCATTAGGTAAAACTAGGGTTAAGATGTTTTTCTAAAGTTTACGCTTTGTGAAATGTTAGTCTCCATTCAAAGACGTTGTAATGTTAAGCATAAACCATAATATAAAGTTACAAATTTATAAACATCTTGTATGGAGATGAATATTACATCAAGCTAAAATTGGCAACGTCCTGAATGCAGATTAATATAACATTGAGTTACACATTTCTTAACATCTTAATCCAAAACAAAAATTACATCAAGCTAAAGTTATAACAGGAGAATGGAGACTAACACATCAGGTGCCAGGTTAAAAGATATGAACATCTTGGACCGAGACGAAACTTTCATCAAGCTAAAGTTATAAACGTCTTGAATGGAGACTAACAACATAAAGTTATAAATTTATAAGCAACTTGAACGGAGGTTAATATTACATCAAGTTACTAATTTATAAGCATCTTGAATGGAGATTAATATTACATAAAGTTCCTAATTTATAAGCATCTTGAACGGAGACAACATTACATCAAGCTAAAATCAGAAACGTCTGGAATGGAGACTAACATTTCACAAAGCGTAAACTTTAGAAATATCTTAACCCGAGTTTAACCAATGAGCTTGAGGAAGACGGGTTGTGTATGACCAATGGGCTGTCCCCGAGTTGCCGAGAGAAAATCTTAATCCCAACTGGGTCGTAAACCAAAAATCACCGAAAGATGTTGTGACATTATGCGTCAAAAGCTGTGACGTTATGCGTGAGAAAAGTTGTGACATTATGCGTTGGTTGTGACATTATGCGTTGGAAGGTTAACGCATAATGTCACAATTTTGTGCCATTATGCGTCGCTGTGACATTATGCGTCGTTGTGACATTACCGGTTGTAACAAACCCTGATAAAGCGTGAGAGAGAAAGAGAGAAAGAGAGAAAGAGAGAGAGAGAGAGAGAGAGAGAGAGAGAGAGAGAGAGAGAGAGAAAAAGAGAGAGAGAGAGGAGAGAGCAGAGAAGAGAGAGAGAGAGAGAGAGAGTTTGTGTGTCTGTATGTATTGGTGTTCGGGTGCGTGCGTGTATGTGTGGGATATATAAATAATATTCTATAAGCATATGTTATGTATAATAACCACGTTTACGAGGAAGCTAAACATTTCGTCATTGAAAGGAGCCTGCTCAGTCGTCATCCGCACGTTCCGTACCTCGCAAAACTGTTAAATATAACAGTAGAATGGTCATCGCGCTACTGTTCATTAAACTTGCCGGTTCTCTAGCCGTCTACTATGTTCTATTATAAAATAAAGAAATGAATGTCTTCAAGATATCTTGTAATTTTTTAAGTCGAGGTAAGGTACATCAGTTGTACAGAAATATCAAAAGAAAAACCTCCATACAGTGAACTGTGCAATGTATATACAGCAAATTCACATTTGCATTGCAGGCAAAACAAGAAAAAACCAAAAATTAAGTAGACTTTCAGGTTCCTCATAGCAATGAAATTAATATAATGGGGTAGAGATGTTGCGTAGTAAACCAGGAGTTTCATAATTCATAACGTATAATTCATAACGTATTGCATCCGCATACACATAAACAAAAATGTGCATAACTTGACTTCCATTGAAAGGTTAAGGATACTCTCAACCTTTTGCACGGGTATTGCTCTAATAAAGATTAAACGTTTATGGACGAATGAATCGAATCAATCACATTGTTTATATTTATAGAAGATATATGATCTCTATCTCAAGGCAAAAAATCTTCATCGAAATTTCCAGTCACTTAATATGTTACCACAAAAATTTGGATTTTTATGTAAAAAAGGACTTTTGGATATTTCTCACTTACCAGAGCAGTGTGAGTTGATACAAATATTTCACGCTCATCAGTTAAGCACAACATGTACGGCAAAAATCGCGCATCAGGATTTTCTTTAGGTTTCATATTTACCGAGAAAATTAATAATAAACTGGCTCAAAATTCATCGGCACGTTTGAATTTTATAAATTTTGCGAAATAAAGAGACATAACTGAATAAAATGACGGCACTCCCATATACAATCCCTGACAGGTTTTTTTACCAGGCAATATGTTATCATTAAAAACGAACGTAAAATTAAATATTAATCCGATTGTAATCACAGAGAAAATTCCATTTAACATGCGACTACTAAAGTCAGAATTGAAACGGAAAACTCAGACGTTTTCTGACGAACACCGCCGCGCTGCACCTACATGTTACGCCGGGCAACAAAACGCTCTGACAAGCTTCGACATGTACCGCTTATATGGAGAAATGACATGTACGACAACGGGCTGCACAGAGTGTTTAGCACACATCGCATTAAAGTATGAAAATGAAAAATTACGGGTAATTTTTTTTTCTAAAACATTGAAGAGTATCCTTAAAGATAATCTGATGTAAACACAGAGACTCAGCAATTTGTTTCAGTATCTCCGGCATAAAATTCAGGGGCGTCAACACTGTGACAGTGTGAGTCCAGATGCTCTGAAGTGAGCGTACCATACGCATGAATGAGAATAGGTTTTGGGCTACAGAAATCTGCCTGAATACCACATAAATGACGTCCTGCATACGCCACCTGGATTGGTCCGCTAAATTTGTAACGGGAGTGTTCTCTGTTATTCGAAGACAGAGGAATGTCGTTAAAATCCAGGAGAGAAATGCACGTATTAACTCGTTTTAATATTCAGCCTGCGCTGTATAGAAATACTATGGGTGAACTAGCTATAAATAGTCGTATTCGCCTGTAGACAGGAATAGCATAGAAGCTCTTACAATATTTCTGTAGTAAAGTACTATTTTGCGTGTTGCAATGGCGTTGATTTGAATTCGACCATATGCGCCAATAATGCCCTTGTATCGTTGTGTTTTCTTCTAGAAAGCTGTTGTTCACCCATACATTGCGTAGTAAAACACACGTGAATAGCCACTAGCAGCACATCCTTCGGATAGCTCACTGCGCTGTCTTGGGTCTACTATTTTGCACTGGCCGTGGAAATATCTGCGAGACGGCGCAATCAGGTTGGGAGTTTCTCGGCAACATGCGACCACACACCGTCCGGCGATATCTTCCAACCATCCAACTTAACCTGCACTCGCAGCAAGCGCCTTCACGCAGCGTATGTGTAGTGGATGACTTACAACTCGATGAAGCGACGAAGCGCGTACTTCCAGTGCGTTACATTGGACCGGAACGTCTGTTTCTTCGTACCATATATGGTTCGACACGCCATTACAGGTAATAATGTCCTCGATGTCAGCTGAGAAGCGCAGGCGCATGTCCGTCCAGAGAGGAGGTATTCTGAGGAAGAGTTCTCTCCACGCGTCTGATCAGCATTCACATCGCCCTTGCTATGCAGGCATATAGACTTCGATCGCTGCGGTAGTCCATACACAGCAGCAGCCTGCCCGCTCGGTCTGCTGCTCCTACGAACCTAAAGGCAGCTGAATGTGTTGTTCTGCGCCATTTCGTGGCGCTCACCCTAGCTTCATAGTATTCCACAGCCAAATCCTGCGTTATCTCACAGACGCCAGTCAGCGTGCACTACCAAGCGATTTGGGTGTGCAGCCAACGGTAGTTTGCCAGTTGCGTCTTGTTTATGACTTCATCTTATCTTTGGCTATGACGGAAAGTTGCATCCAGCACGGATCTTGCCTTAGAACGTCAGTCCTGCACCAATGTCAGTCTGTAAAGACAAATGAACTGAATCTGTAGTTTAAGTAAAACCCATGGGACAGTGTCCTACGTAATGCGTGTGAGCAGAAAGTATATACCTTTAGCGACTGCAATCATGCAAAACATCGCGACCGCTAAAGTTTCAGTATCCGCGACAAGAAAGGCAGGATCTTCGAGAAACGGTGCGAAAGTCCTTGACGTACAGGCTGACGTTCGATTTCTTAAGACGGTTCGAGCAGTCGTTAGAAAGAACGTGTATCCCCCTTTAAAGAGGGTGTTAACATAGCAGGGAGAGAAGTCGGGGACGCCATGCAGACGGCTCAATGTGTCTAACAAAACTCAACCTTCTTGTCTCACACAAAACCACTTTTGCTGACAGCCAACTGCAATTCGTGTCTGACAACAAAACGTCAATTTTGTTGAAGCACAAATAAATATAATTATAGTCAATCCTTCTGTCGCCACAAAACTCAATGTTTGTGAACACCAAAACCTCATTCTGTCATCCTGTCCCCACAAGAACTCAATTTTGTGAACGACAAAACTCAATTTTTCTGTCATCCTGCCACAAAACTCAATTTTGTAAACACACAAACTCAATTGCTGTCAAATCCTGTTCACAACTCGTATTTTGTTAGCCCAAAATATGGCA